CATTTTTATTGATTCTTAATTTTTTTAAATTTATCATTATTGTATGTATAGGCATGTGTGTATGTGTGAGAATGTGGCTATGCTTGTGTCACAGCATGTGTGTGGAGATAAGAGGACTACATTCCGGAGTCTGTTTTCTTCCTCTGTGGGGTCCAGGGGTCAAACTCAGGTCATCAGGTTTGTGTATCTAGTACCCACTGAGCCATCTCAAAGCCTTGTTGCTATTTTCCTTTTATAATCAGCAGTGTTAACACTGTCATTTTGCATGAATATGTAGTGCCAAATGACAGAAATATGTTTGAGGCCATTTCGGAAATTTTGGTTTTTGTATATTCAGAAACCTTATTGTTGCCAGTTTTTTCGTGATCCCCACATTCAGTGTGGATCACTAGGCACAGTTTGGGATGTTATACCTTAACTAGTTTCCCAGATCCTCAACCACCCCTACCACGGTGGTAAATTCATTATAGCTGATGGACCATCATTGATATGTCATTATCATCCAGATTCCATGGTTTACATCAGGGTTCCACAGGCTTACACAAATGTGCAATTTGTATTTTATCATACAGACATACAGGGTATTTCCAGCTCTAAAAAAATTCTCTGTGGATTTTTAAAGGAAACAAGCTTTTTTTTTTTGTTTTTTTTTTTTTTCCCTGTGTTTCTAGATAAGTGTTTGTTGCTTTTTTGGTAGAGGGACCAGGATCAACAGTTGCAGAGAATAAAACTGCAAGGTACTGTTCTAGAAACAGCTGGAAAATAAGGCTCAAGTGCCAGACAGGGGAGAGAAAATAAAAAAGGCAGACACACAGCAGCTTGGCACATCAAGAGGATTTTGTTAAAGGGGTGTGGGGGGGGGGGGGAGAGTGAATAATTTGCATGAGAATGGATTGAGAAGTCTGCAACAGCCCAGGGGGAAAAGGTGAGAAGGTCTGGTTTATATCAAAGTGAAAGGTGTCATCAGCAACCGTCTGCCCAAAAGGCCTTCCTGGTAATAGCTGGGATTAAGAGCAAGGAAGGAGGGGATCACCCAGTTTCCTGGAGTGAGGGAAAAATCGGTCTCAGCAGGTTGGTTCAGAATAAAACTTTATTAGAAGAGAGAGCCTCAAGACCACAGAGGGCCATTCTCCTGCTTAAACTAAGAGAGCATCAGCAGGGACAGAACATAATCTCAGAGACAACATGACCAGACCTTGAAGGGAGGGAGAGTCTGCCTTTCTAAACCTTGGAGAGGAGACTCAGTAGAGATAGCTTAAATGGAAAAACAGAAAACAGAGCTGCTATGACAGGCATCTGGAAAGGAGAGTCTTCAGATTACCCCAAACAAGAGAGGTGTTTTTTTGCTTGTTTGTTTTTTCAGTTTTTTTTGTCTTCTTTGATGGTTTCATTCATGTATACAATGTATATTGCTCATATCTACTCCTCATTTTCCCTCACTTCCTTTAAACTCCCCAGTCCATCTCCATCTACATGTGGTATCTCTCTTCCTCTGCTCACTGAGTCTAATTAGCACTGCCCACAAGGGCAGGGGTGTGGTGCCATTCACTGGGGCATGGGCAATATGCTAGCAGACATACCTCTAAAGAAAACTCACTTCCTTTTCCCCAGCAGCCATCAACTGCAAGAGCGTCTCAGTTAGGGGTGGGGCCTTGTGAACTTCCGCTCCATCCATACTGAAATGTGGACTGGCTACATCTTGTGCATGTAAGCACAACAGTTGTAAGTTCACAAGTGCCACAGCCATGTCATGTTCAGAAGAATGCATTTCCCAGCATCCCCTCACATCCTCACATCCTCACAGCCTCTGCACTCTTTCTGCCCCTCTTGCATGATATTCCCGGAGCCTTGGGGAGCCAAGTAAGTGACTTAGGACTAAGCATCCAACAATCACTTACTCTTACCTCTTCCATCACTCATGATCTCTGCGTTAACGGCCAACAGAAGGTTCTATGTCTAGTCTTGGGAGGAGCACTAATCTATGGTACAAACATATATATTTTGGCTGCAGCTTGACCTCATGATCATTTATCAGAACAACAGTACTTAGGTCCCTCAAGGGCCTCTTACCTCCCAAGCCATTGGCTTTTGACCAGGTTTACAGTACCAAGTATGAATTCCTTCCTGTGAGGCAGGCCTCAAGTCCAATCAGAAAGTATTCGGTTAAACCACTACAGTCATACACTATGGCACAAGTGGGTGGATCTTGACTGATAGGTCAGTACAGTAGCATGTAAGAGCCAGAGCTGGGTAAGACCATTGTTATAGTTTGTTTTCTACTGTTGTGATAAAACACCAGGACCCAAACAGTGCGGGCAGGAAGGAGTTTGTCTTGCGGTTCCAGGTAACATTCCATTGCTGAGGGAAGTCAGAATAAGAATCAGAAAGGAGGAGCTGATGCAGAGGTCATGGAGGAGTGCTGCTCACTGGCTTGCTCCTTATGGCTTGTTCAGCCTGCTCTCTTATACCACCCGGGACCACCTGCTCAGGGATGACCCCACCCAAAGGGGTTTGTGCCCTCTCACAGCAGTCATTAACCAAGAAAATGTCCTGCAGACGCACCTACAAGCAATCTAGTGAAAGCATCTTCTCAGTTGAGGTTTCTCTTCCCACATAGCACTGGCTGTGGAAAGACGACGAAAAAGAACTAGCAAGCACAGCCAATGACATTTTCCAAGGGAGATTCCTGACTTTTATAGGTTTACAGTAGGTAACAGGTGATAACCCCCCACAAGGGGTGGGCCCTCTCACATCAATATTTATCAGTAGTATGCCCCACAGACGACCCCGCAGCCAGCCTGATGGAGGCAATTCTTCAGCTGAGGTTTCCTCTCTCCAGACAACTCTAGTGTGTGCCATGCTTCTCCTCTTGAATCCCATAAAAGAGAGCTTCAGACAATACTCCAGCACCTTGAGTATCTTCACTCATGTGACCTGCCGTTCCCTTGCAGTGTGCCTGGGTTTGTTTTTTTTTTTTTTTTTTCCTATTTTTTGTTTTGCTGCATTTTTTTTCTTTGCTTCAAAGAAAGTTTTCTTGCTACTTTTGCACATCTGAATGGGCTTTTATTTCAATTCCTTGAATAGGAGACCATGAACGTGAAAGTATTGTAACCTAACTGAAGGTAACATCTGCCTTAGCCTAAGTGCCAAAGTGAAGGACTTATGTAGGACTTTAAACTGGCAGCAGTGAAGGGGAGGAGTTGCAAGGCCACACAGTACAGCAGGGCTCCTGAGACTAGAGGTAGAGGGGGGAGGGGAGGGGCGGGAAAGGGAGGAGAAGGGAGATTGCCCAGAGGTGTGGCCTGGTTTTGGGAGAGAGGAAGTTGGGTCGAGGGTCTGTGATACAGTCATTATCGAACCCTTCTTACTTCCCTTTTCCTGGGAGGTTTATGGTTTGCCAAAGCAGGAGGAATGGGCCGGCTGGTAGGCATTTTTCATGATGAATTAAACGACGAACTATTTATAGTTTATGTGAAAGAGCCGGGGAGGGGTGGAGGAGGAGAGGATTCCTCATAGGGAAATGGGGCAGAAGGGAGACCTGAAGCGCAGTGCCCACACACCAGTGATGGCTATGAGAACTGCTGCCTGCTTCCACTGATCTTCTAGAACTTAGGCCTTGCTATAACCAGAGGGCTCAGTTCCCCCACATCCTGAGTCAGTTTGTGGTGTAGAATAGAAGCTGGGGGCCGAGGGCAATGGGTAGACGTAATTACTGCTTCTTGAATATATTTACTTCCACTGTCTGTACAGGCACTGGGTGTACAGCAGGTGGAACATCTAACTAGGGGCACCCCACCTTTGTGGACTCTCGGGCCTGGGTTCACAACGGAGGCCGAGTTCACTCTTTCAACTGTTAAAAATGTTCACAGACACGGGAAAAAGAAGACGCGAACCTTGCAGCTCAGCATCAACGCATCAAACCTACAGCGCAGCCGGGAGCCTCGCCTCGCCGAGGAGCGCCGCGCCTGCGCATTGCAGACAATGAAGCCGCGCGCCCCCGGCGAGGAGGCGGGACTTGCCCGGGCATCCGGGTCCCACACCCCGCCCCCGCGGCATGAATGAGAGGCGCGGCGGCCGCCCCTCCCCCGCCGGGCCCGCCCCTCGCCGGGGCCGCAGCTAGCAGTCGCTACCGCCAGCTCAGCGGCTCG